CTCAGTTGTGCCTGACCCAACTCTGGCCTACAATGTCACCAAGGCAGGTGGGTCATGTCCTTAGTGTAGATTTGAGGGCATCAAATCGGATTTTTAAAATATGAATATGATTATGATTACTCAATTTTCTGATGTCTTGCTTAAATTTCATGTCCATGACCCCACTACAGAGGCAACTGTTAAGTAGTGAGAAATCAGCCCTGCCTGTTGATATAAAAACACAAGCTAATCTTGCACCTCAGGCAGCATCTAGGCTTTAAATACACTGGAAGCTTTATCTCTTTCAACTGTGCTTGTAAAGGAGAGGCCTGGCTAATGAAAATGAAGGTGGGGCCACTCCAATCTTGATGACAGCTACCCTCTTTGTATTACAAGGCGACCAACATCTGGCAGAGCTTGACTCTAAGTGCCTATACTCCAGCTAGTCATTTCCAGGTCTGAGACTGTGACCTAGGGAAAAAACAAAAACAGAACAAAAAATTTAAAAACTTAGGTGGGGGTGGAGTATAGCTCAATAGACCTTGTGCTTGGTGTGTGTGGCCCTGGGGGTCTGATTTCCACCAACCAAAGGGAAAAAATTTTTTAAAAACCTCAAAGGGAGGGGCAGGGATTTAGTTCAGTGGTTCTGCCACCTGCCTCCCAAGTGCAAGGACCGGAGTTCGATCCCCGGTACCAAAAAAAAAAAAAAAAACAACTCAAAGTGAAAAATGCACACACTTACAAAAAGGAAGAGAGGTAAAACATATTGCAAATGTCACATCTAGGGAATTAACCCTCAGGAGACTCCCTAACAATTTCACCTTTAAAAAAAAAAAATCCCACTAAACCACGCCCCCTGCATGTAGCCTGTGCCAGCTTTAAACTCAATTTGTAGCCAGGGCTGGACTCAAATTTGAAATCCTCCTACCTCAGCCTACCCCATGGTAGATAGGCGTGTGTCACCATGCCTGGCCAATTTATTTTTCTAAGGGAAACTTTAAAGTACACATCAAAATCATGAAAGCAATGGTAAAGACCTAACCCAGCGTAGGGCAAACTCTCTACCAATGAACTTCCCCAGCCCTCACTCCAAACTTTGCATCTGAGACATTGTGCTTGCCAAAACATCATGGAGCTTGGAAATGTTCAACTGTTTCTTCTCACCCAAGCAAAACTAGGACTGCAGCATGGATCATCTTTCCCTTCCTTGCAGAGGTAGCCCTTTAATTTATGTTTAAATTCATCACAGCTTTGCAGCTTGCCAGCCACTCATCCTACCCACTCACCCTTACAGAACACAGGCAGAGAGCAATCACATTGCCTCCATCGCTGAGTCTCTACCAGGGTTCCTGACACGTTTCTTTTGTTCTCAAACATATTTTAACCCAAGAACAGTATTACTCAGTGGGATTCAACTTCCTACGTACCCCTGGCTTGTGATCCCCCCACCCAGACCTCCTGTCACAGAAATCAGCACCACTGATTTTCCTAACTTTGTGAACATGCGCCTAGCCCTCATGGGTCCATAAATTGTGAAGTCGATTTGGGGCAGGGAACCTCTGAGCAGCTGCATGGGCATGACACATAGGCCCAGAGGGAGATTCTGGTGTGGCGGGAAGCAGCACTGGTGACCTGGGGCCACCAACCCCATCCACAGCTCCCACAGGTGCTGGGCTCTGAGCACGCCCAATGCTGAGCACATGCCACAGCTGCGGGCCAGGCAATCACCTACCCATGCTGGTTTGCCAGGTGCCTACAGAGGTTATGGGGAATCAATCACTACTGAAAACTGTAAAACTGAAGCCACCAATGACAACTTACAGCCTGGATTTATCAGGACACAACAAAGATACACAACCAGGGCAGGTAGTCATATCTAATGGGCTAATACCAAGCCACAGCACAGAAAACAAATTTAAGATCGACCTGCCACACATGCTGGGGCACAGTCCTTGAAACAACCAAACTCAGAGCAGCTTGCAGTTTGTCAGTGTGAGAAGTGCTTCATTCTTTAAAAAAAAAAAAAAATCTCCATCTCTCTCTTGCTTAAAAAGAACTAAAAGTTTATCATCTACATGGACAGAGATGGACTGGCAGGGATCTATTAAAAAGCCCAAAGGGGGAAAATTGTCTTAAGGCTACACAGTAACAATAGACTGAGGCATCTATCCCATCCCAGTTCCCCTGTCTTTTCAGTAATCAACCACAAACGGGAGCAGAGACAGTAAGGGGAGGGCCTATCGGGAAGGGAAGCGTTGACACAACGTGCACAGGACCGCGCAGGCACCTCATCAAATTAGGAAACCACAACTATTCCATTCTTGATCTGGAAGCTGCCACTTCACAGCTCCCAGACAAAAGTCAGCAGAGCGACCTGACAGGGGCCTCTCTGGACTCCCTCCTCCAGACAAGCCTGATCGCTGAAAGGTGGGAAAAGAACTTGCTGCACTGGAAACGGATCTTAACAGCATTAGCGCTCTCTCCCTCTCCGTGGAAAGTTTCCCCATCGCTGCATTTTTTTCAGTAACAAAGATGTTGGCAGGAATGACAATTTTTTGTGTCCCCTGATGATGTCTTGCTAGCATTTGGTTATAAGCCATAAAGCAGGAATAATTTCAGCCTGTCAGGAGTCTCGGTGATGCCCAGTTTCCCCCCAGAGAGAATTCCTGTCAAATCTAATGAGAGCTCCAAAGGCCCTCTCTACAATATAATGAGCACTTAGGCCATGCTGGTGATCAGGCGGCAAAAAGCATCAATTTGAGCCTGGCTACACCCTGGGGGCCAGACGTCACCAGTTTTAATAAGAATTATGATTACTAGCTACACCAAATGCCTCCTCAGAACTTATCATTAATGTGTGACATTCAGAAGGATGTTTTTCAAATGTAAGACCACTTTAAACTGAATTATAGCACTCCTTTGCACACTACTCTAGTTAAGGGTCTGTCAGCATTTACAATATAAACCAAATTTGAGGGGGTTTAATATCTACCATGAGGAACTTGTTTATCTCTCAGCTTTTCCCATTTTTCAAATTACTGAGCCAATTATACACAGTGTATTATTGGTTTTTTTGGGGGGGGTACTGGGGATCGAACTCAGGTCCTTACGCTTGCGAGGCAGGCAGCAGAACCACTGAGTTAAATCCCTAGCCCTACACAGTGTATTATTAATGCACAAGGGCTCATGGACAGAGAGTATATACCCACAAATGCCCAATGCAGTATAAAACTCATTAGAAAACCATTTTCACATCGTAAGGGCTTCTGCCCCTTCTTCCTTCTTTCTATATGATAAAGAAAAGGTCGCCACACCATGTAACCAACAGGAACCCAGAAGAATCACACACCTCTTTCAGTTCCTCCAGTAATGGCACCAGTACACAACATCACACCAACAGAGTACTCCCTTGTAAGAGGTGATGAGGTTATTAAATCCTCCAAGTTTATGGGGTTAAGAAAAAGCTCAGTCTCCTCTTACTCTTTCAGAATTTGTCACCAAAAACATGTCCTTCAGGATAATTTTAAGAGTGGCAGGTGAGAGTTCCTAGGCCAAATTTATTTGCATAATTAATTTAGAAGGCCATAAACCATTGCCATTGATTTTCTAGGGCTAGGCCATTTACTATCAACGTTACAATTGCCTCAATAAGGCACTAGCCACTGAAACACACAAAAGCAAAGGCACAAACCCAGCATAAACAAGGCTACCAACTTTGCAAATCAAAGTGAAATCAGCAGCTTTTTAAAAGGCCTGTTTTACTAATGAACGGCCATCTTAGCTATCTTTCCAAACAAATCTGAGAAAACACCTAATGTACATGGTAACATTATGAAATCTAGGAGGAATTAAAAATCAAAGAGTGAGGAGTTACAAAAGCAGAATTCAACTCTGAAACACACTTGCTTAATGAAAGTCTCTGAATATAAGGAAGATCTGAAGGCTGAACTAATCAATTTCTCCACTGTGCCCCAGCCGGTCAGCCATGCTCTTTAATTTAATGAAACAAGGGTTTGAGATGAAATAGCACATATACATCAAGTAAGAATTGTATTGTTGCACTCTGAAATGTGTCCAGCTGTGCAACTTCATCTGATGATAATTTTTAAGAGGCAATCGATTTCTAAAAGACTTATTGTACCAGCGTCTTGATGAAAAAGTGAATGTCAGCATATCTCCAGAATACTTACACCCTGCCATTAATGCTTTCTTTGGCAGACAATGACTACTCAATCGAGGGTCCTTTGGGCTGAGCAATCATTTAGCTTTTCTTCTCTTATGAGGTCCTTAGTGCCTTGTTCCAGCTCAATACTCTTTTTATACACCATTATAGTAGCCGTAAGTGTGAATTTTATGGGAACTTGCAAACTCAGTCATAGCTAAAGCTTTCCAGTCACTAATCTTTTCATGCTTTTAAAACCACTAGGACTGAAGCAACTCTCAACATATGCTGTGGCAATAAAAGGATCCTTTTTTCATATCCAAACCTGCATCAACTAAGTAAGAAACTTTCAAAAAGATGTTTGCTAATAAACCACTAATCCTGACTGTCACTTTATGCAACCCCAAACCATAAAAAAATACTCCAGTTACTCATTTACCTTGTTCAATCTGATTAAAGAAACTCCTAATTATCCTTCTTTCCCCACAGGTCCCTATTTCCTTCTGAAACAGCACTAACTAAACTACAGTAAACTTCAGCAACTCTACAACATACCCCAGGGGAGAATAAATCTATGGAGGTGGGAAAGTAAACGCTGAGTCTCAGAGTTCCTGTCTACTTTAAACAAGCTAGTTTACATTTCCAAAGCACCTCTCACCTAGTCATTTACATGCCAAGTAATTTTCAAGAAGCAACCACTGCTGCAGAATATCATCACCATTAAGCAGGAAGGGAAACCAAGGCAGGAAAAAGGCATACAAATGCCCACCCCTCCATCCCGCAACTGAGGACAAAGCCAGTATTATAAAATCGTATGAACTGATTTCTCCTTTCAACGTGAGATTTAACCAAAGCTTACCTGTTTATGCATTTCAATGTTTAATCCATATGACATTTCATAATACTGTGGAGAGAAAAGAGAATCAACCATTTTACTAACTCACACTGTTGCAATGCTAAGAACACATATTTGCTAATATTATACAAAAAGGAAAAAGATCCAGTCTTTGCTACCTACCATCACATAGTGCCTCTGCATTTCTGTCTTTTCACTTGCCAGTTTCTCACATTCCAGTTTAAGGCTATGAAAACAAAACAGGCAACTTAATGTAAACATTACTTCACTTGTTTTAACATCTGCCTCACATATTTGCACTTCAAGTAAAAACAAAGACCAATTTGGAAAAGCCATAAACTATCTATATAAACACCCAAAAGCTTTGTCCTTGCATTTAATAGGAAAAAGGAATAAGATGAACAGTCAGGGTATCCATTCAACTATCTTTTTCTTCTTGATGCCTACCTGCCCAGATGCCATTAATGAAAAAATCTGTCAAAACAGACTCTTCCTCACGGTTATGTGTTCCCTACTTTCTTGCATCAAAGACTGCTTCTGTGGACTGTACCAAAATCTGGCCCTTGCACAATCTTCAGTCTTCAGCATGGGCTGTGCCACCTCTGCCAGCTTAAAAAGTCCGTAGGTTTGAAAATCTTCTCTGCAAAGTTACTTCTATAACGGCTGCTCCCTTTCAAAACCTTTGGTTCTTACATCCTTGCCAAAATATGTCAAGCTGCTACTGCAATGAAGTGGGCTGAAGTTCTCCCTGCTTGGTAAACACACGGTGTGTGCAAGTGCAAGGATACCTCGAGCTCTGGAAATGCTATCTACAAGTAGACAAAACGTCAATAATCAGAAAGCCCCTGACAAGTAAGGAAAAAACTCACACTCAAGCCACTTAGTCTCATTTGTGTTTCTTCTCAAGTGCAACAAAAGTAGAAATTGTCATTACAGTTATTTCTTCGCTCTAGCCAGCCATAACCTCACAGGAGCACGGGAAATAAACTAACCACCCTGGGTAATTCACTATGGACACAGCACTTTACAAATACCTTTCATTTATAATCGCGTTGATGGGAGGTATCACTAAAGGAAGAAACTAAGGTTGACATGAACACAAATGTAACCCGCTCCAAATCCACCCAGAATGAGGTTCGAGCAGTGAGGGTTCCCACACTATCTATCTTCTCCCCACCGAGGGTGCAGTGGGCACAGCTGAAAATACCCAGCCTTCCCTAATGGACTTTGTCTCAGGCGACCCAATTTTCTAGTATGGCAAACAGACATTTCAACATGGCTTTGCTCCTCTGAAACACACTCCAGGGCCGAAGCATCGATTGAACCAATGTTTCAGCTCAGCCTGTTGCAAAATAAATAAATGAAGTGCAAATATTGACGGTTCTCATGCAACTCCTAAATACACGAATAAGGACTCCCAGGAACAGCAGTAAACGGGCAAAAGGGAAACAATGGGAGGAGGAGGAGACATGAAAAGAGGCGGCCCGGGAAGAGCCAGGAAAGGGGGGAACACGAATGACAGGTCTTAACTGCGACTGCACACGCCCCCGCCTGGACGCAAGCATTAAGTACAGCAGCAGCCGCCGCCGCCTCAGGGCTGGGTGACGAGGGGCACCGGGAAACATGGGCGACCACTGGCCCGTCACAGCCGGACACACACCTGTGATACTGCGCTTGCAGGAACTGAAATTCCTCTTTAATCCGGTCCAAGGACTCCGGGATTGTGAACTTGAAGGGCTGGCCTGCAGCCTGGTGCGGCGTCTGGGGGGGGGACCAACGAGGGTCACCGAGGAACGAGGACGAGGGCAGATGGATAAATCAGCAAGTGGCGGAGTTGGGACAAGAAACGGGTGGGACACACACACACAAAAACAAAGTTAGAAGTGTTGGTAAACAAGCCTTCAACTCTAGTTTGCAGTTCACTTTGGAGAGGTAAAAGTGGACCTTCCCCGGCCCCTGGGTTCTAAGAGGCTCCGGAAGCGCCCCAGACCCCAGGGCAGATCGTGCCAAGAGCGTCCCGTCCCGGTCACCTGCCTGAGGGCAGGGGCTGTGGAGGCCCGGGCCAGCCCAGCCCAGCCCTTCGGGGTCACCACCGCCTCCCCCTTGGGAACAATGACCCCAGGGAGAAGAAAAACAGCTCCCAACGGACCCCCTTCCTAGAGTCGCCGGGGCCACTTCCGGGCGCGCACCGCCAAGGGTGCCACAATGACAAGTAAATAAGGGAGACGAGAAACGGGGGACGTAGGGCGCCCCGGGAGGATGTGGCTACGGAGAGAAACCCCAGCTCCCACGTCCGCCCAGTCTAGACGTCAGTCAAGCAAGAGGGCGTCCGGAGGGAAGGGGAAGTGGAGCTTCGGCAACAACCCAACCCCAGGCAGGAGGGCGCAGTGGCTCCCAGGCTGGGACCGCTGAGGGCCGGGGGCCGCGCACGGGCCACGCGCCTCGCCGACCCGGGTCGGGCCCCCCACCGCCCCGGGGGACCGCAGCTCACCGGGTGCCGGCTCTGCGGGAACATTGCTCTGGCGGTGGCCGAAGCTCTGTTCCCGGACAGCTCAATTCTCCGCGCAATTTCCAACTTTAATCCCGCCGAGGTTAATTAAGCCAAGAAAGCAGACGCGGGGAGCGCTGGGGGCGCGCGCGGCGGGGCGCACCGGCCGGGTCGGCGCCGGGGCTGCTCCTGCTCTGGCCGAGGCGGGCTTCGGCCCTCAGGGCCACATCGCAGCCCGGGTGGCCCGAGAACGTGCGCGGCGACGCAGGCGCGCTCCCAAACGTGTGTGCCTCGGCTGCCGGCGGGAAGGTGGGGCGCGGCGGTCTGGGTGCGCTCCCCTCGGAATCCGACAGATCCGGGCGGCTCGCACCGCTCGGTTCCCGGGCCGCTCCTCTCCGGCTTTCCCCGCAGGTGGCGCGACGGCTCCGGGAGCTCCACAGCAACAAGCCCGGTGGCGTTCCGGGCCAACTCCCGCGGGTCTGCACTGAGTCTTCGGCTGGGCGCTCACTGGCTCCGGCGAGGCCGCGAAGTAGGGCTGGGGTCGGAGCACAGGCTCCGCGCCCCACGGTCCGAAGCCTCACCCCGGCCAGGGACCGAAGAATGCGAAGTGCGCAGGACGCCCGGGTGACTAAGCTCTCCGGTGGCACCGGCTACTCCGCGCGGGCGAGTCCGGGCGCCCAAGGCTGCTCCTCCCCGGGGCGCATCGGGACGCCGCGCCCCCGAGCACCGCCGCTCCGGACCCGTGCGAGCCCCGGCCTCCGGGTCCTCCTCCTCGCCTGCTGGGTTCCCTCGCCGCCCGGGGCTCTCCGGCCCGCCGCGAAGTTCTCTCACGCCCGAGGGGCCGACATCCACCGACGCCCGGGGACGGCGGGCGTGCGCCCCGCGCGCGGCCCCGCTCCCGCCGGCAAACTCCGCGGGCGAGTCCGGATCAGTCCCCCAGCCGAGGGATCGCCGAGGTCCCGCCCGGCTCGACGCGGGTGGGGCTGGCACCGTGGGCAGCCTCGGGGACGCGGGGGGCACCGGTGCCGCCGGCGCTGCCGATCCTGCAGCCGCCCGCTCCGCCGCCGCCGCCGCCCGCGCCTCTCGCGCCGCTTACATTAACACGCGGTTTCACACTCTCGAGCTAACATCGCCGGCCCCGCCCAGCCCGGCGCGGGCGGGGGCCGCGAGCCCCGAGCCGCCTCAGCCAATCGCGTATGCTCAAGCCAACGTGGGGTGCTGACGTCACTGAAGCCCTCAGCCAATGGCCGCGCCGCACCGGCCGGTCAGCCCCGCGGACCCCTCCCGCTTGGGCAGTCTCCCCGGCTCCCCGTCCCACCCCGCCCTTCCCCCGCCCGGCGCGTCCTCCCGGCTCGGGGAGGCGCAGCTCCGGAGGGGCCGCGGGACGCCGCCGGCAGCCAATGGGAAGCGGCGAGACGCGCAGCTTGGCGCGGAGGATTGGAAGGTCGGTGGGAAGGAGAGCGGTGCGGCCGGGCTGTCAATCAAAGTAACGTGGGGCGCCGAGACGCGGGCGCGCGCGGGGGGAGTGTGGCGGCGTGCGGCGCGGGGCTGCTGGCTGGAGTGCACCGGATCCACTTGTTCACTTTTCCCTGCGAGGAAAACCATTCGATCGCAGCGAAAGTAACTCCGACGCCCGCGTGGGTTGGGCCGGGGGCACTTCTCAGTGATTTCCACCTCAGCGCGGCTCTGTGAGTGGGGTGACGTCCCAAGGTCTCGGGCATGTTTCTCCCCGAGCAGCCGCTTCCCGCTGCGCGAGGCAGGGGCTATGCCGGGTGGGAGTGCGTGAGAGAGCGGCGCTGCGGCTGCCACGCGGACCCCGGCCGCCCCGCCGCCCCGCCGCCCCGCCTTGGGGCTGGTGTCGTGGAAGAGTCTAGCGGCTGAGCGGAAAGCTCGGCCTGCCCTGCGTGGGCGGAGAGGGGCCCCACGGCGCCGCCGGTGGTGGGTACGCGCGTCCCCGGCCCGCGCGGAGAAGACGCCGGCCACGCGAGAAGCCGGGGTCCTCGTCCCAAGAGTCTGGCCGAACGCTTGAGCCTCTCAACGGCCAGACCGGAGCCTCTTCCCACTTCCTGGGAACAAAGAGACCACGGGAGACCTGAAGGGCTGCCCCACCCTCCCGGCCGTGGTTTAGGACGCGCTCTTAGCCGGCTGCGGGCTGGATCAGTGGCGCTCCGGGTTGCTGTTTACTGGGAATTGAGTTAAAAGGAGTTTTGAGGCCTCCATGGAAGACACATGTTGTACAACTCAAGGTTGAGGGTCTCTGGTTTTGTCTGTTTCTCAGAATCCACTCCTGGGAATCGCCCCGTGTGTACTTTGCTTTAAAGAACACTTTTAGGGGAGCTGTTTTTACTAAAGCGGGGACTGAATGTTAACGTGGTACCCAAATGTTGGTTACTTCTTGCGGAAAAGAGGCACATCTTCCACAGATGTTCATCTTACGTGGGAACCTAATTAACAACTGTTTGGTATTGATAATAACCCCCATTCCCATTATTTTCCTTCCGAGACTTTTGGGAAGGTTTGTTTTGATTGGAGTTTTTTGGGGGGGGGTAGTTTTGTTTAGTTTTCTCTGTTGGGGATTGAACCAGGGCCTAGCCCATACTTGGCAAGCACTGCACCTCTGAGCTACGCCGCCCCCCCCCGTCAGGTTTTATTCAAAGTTATGCTTTCACAAAAATTTTTTCTTTGAAATATTAAAAGAATCATTTTAGATAATACAGTTCTCTACTGGAGTTTTAAAATATGTATGATATTGATTTGTCTATAATTGCATCAAGCGCAGATATCAATTATAGATGAAAAATAAAAGAGCGATTTTAGCCAGTCTGAAGGCCATAGTAAGTTCTTAAACAAGTTCGACATGGTAGCTTTGGGGTGTTTTCATTAAGTGGAATTGAAAAAGGGGTTTTGCTACACCAGAACTAGAAAGGAGCTGCCCCTTGTCTTGGTTAAATTTGGTGATGGTGGGCGCAGGTTGCACACTCAGGTCGTTTTGGAATCCCATGATCCACTGGCACAGAGCTCTGTCCTTGGGAGACCTGTGCTCTTGAGGTCACTGTGCAGAGACAGGCCACCGTTGCCATCTGTGGGCGTGGTCCGCTCAGCTCCACACTTCGAAGAAAGTGTGCGCGCCTTGGGAGTGCACACCCTGACACCGCTCCACCAGCCGGGACTTCCCCCTGGCTTTCCAAAGCTAATTCAGTGGTAGGTGTACCCTGACTTACAGGCACACGCTGGCACTTAAACAGGATGTTTGGGAACAGGAGCAAAAGCGTCCGAGTGAGTTTTAACACAGTTTCTTTATTCCCTAATAACTTCACAGAAAATATGTTCACTCAACCGTATTTCCCAGTTTGCTATGAGTAAAACTTAGAAATACTCTTTTAACTCGTGCTTCCTTACCAGTAGAGTTCAAAACCAGGCCAAGCCTTTTGATTTCCTTAAAATGCAATGTGTGGAAGCCTGGTGAGGTAACAAACACCTGTAATCTCAGCATTCTTAGAAGCGGAGGCAGGAGGATCACAACTTGGAGCCCAGCCTAGGAATTTAGCCATACCCTGTCTCAAAATAAAAAACCGAGGGAAAAAAAGTGTTGGGGACATAACTCTAAAGAGCCTGAGTTCAGTCTCCAGTACCGCCGAAAGAAAAAAGTACTATGGAAAAAAGAAGGCACATAAAGATTTCACCACGTGACCCTCTAATTATATATTTAAAGAGGGGTGGTTTTTGAAGGTGTCATTCATTCTCATTTGAATATCCTTGAGAGTGGGGGAAGGCTCAGTCCTTTGTCAAGGTCATACTTTTGGTGATTGTCATGCTGTAACAATTACACTACAAAACTCATCAAACTGTATTACAAATGAGGTGTTTAAACAATCAAGCAGCTTTAATCTTAATTTTAAATAAATAATATATGTGCAGATTGCCTACAGCCTATTTTTAAAAAATAGTCCTACTCATGAAATCTATAATTTTGGTAACCATATTCTTCTTTAGCTTTAACAAATTCACATGCCAGTGATGTTTGTACAGGAAATAATATTAAGTACACTGCTTCCATAGGAAATAGTCTTGAGCAAAAAAGAAAAAGAAGAAAGTATCCTTTTTCTGCAAAAGAAACAAAGACTTTTTTTGAGACAGGGTCTCACTATCTGTGTGTCCAGAGCTGCCCTTGAACTCAACACCCTCCTGCTTCAACCTTCCCAGGACTAACATTACAGTTATATATCACCATGCCTGCCTTTGTTTATTTTATCTTGGTATATATACATGTATATTTACATATTTGTTAGTGATTATCAAATTTTTAACTTAACAAGTAATTACGAAACTAAATGCTACATAGTATAGGTACTAGACATAATAAGAAAATACATGAATGCTGATCATAGAAATTATGCCTTTTAGCCAGGCATGGTAGTAGACACCTATAATCCCAGCCCTTTAGGAGGCTGTGAGACAGGTGGATTGCAGATTGGAGCCCGCCCTGGCCAATTTAGCAACTTAGTAGAAGCCTGTCTCTAAATAATTATTTCAAAAAAAAAGGACTGGGGATATAGCTCACTGCAAATGCCCTGGGTTCAACCCCAGTACCAAAATTTTTTTTTAAAGAAATTATGCATCTTTTAATTCTATTTTTTAAATAATTATAGAAATTTTTTAAAGACCAGTTTTGTCATTTTCTCTTTTGAGTTAGCGCTCAAACATTTCCTCATTTGAGTGGGGGGTTTTTTTGGAGTGTTTTTTTTTTTTTTAAACTGAGTTTTCTTTCTCTGGGTTTATTTTACTTTGTTTCACTTTTTGTTTTGGGGAGTTTTGTTTTTGTTTTTGAAATGGGCTCACTGCATAGTTCAAACTGGCCTTGAACTCACTATGTAGCCCAGGCTCTAGGGATCCTCCTGTCTCAGCCTGCCAGTTGGTAGGGTTACAGGCATGCACCACCAAGCCTGGCAAAACTTGAGATTTCTTCAGCCTAAGAGTGTAGGGCCCAAAAGAAATGCTCGTAGCATTGCTTTATAGCCATTTCCTCCTTCACTCCATTACCCCAAAAACCCAATGAGATGAACTTGAGTGGAGGTGAGGAGGGTAGAGAGAGAAGGCAGAGAAGGAAAAACAATCAGTAGCAGATCCATGCAGCAGTAAAACCTCAAATAAAATCACATCCAAAGAATCTCTTGTGGTTTCACACAATATGGTAAAATTAGAGATTGCAGGAAACCAGCTAAATTAAACTGGGAGCATTTGAAGAGAAACTAGCAGACTGTATGAAAATGACACGTTGACTGACCAGTGTGTTTTTGTAGCAACAATTTCTTTGTTAAGACACAGATCAAAGGAACCTGCATATGTTTTCATTTTATTCTAACTAGAAAATTACATCCAGATGTTTAATAGGCATTTGGTTGGTTTTTCAGCATTGATTAGATGTGTGGGTTCTGTTTGCTTACAAGTGTAGCTGGATCATTAGCTAATGCAAAGAAATGTTTGCTGTGAGTTGCTAATTAGGGCTTTTGGAAACTCTCCCTGCTCAAGAACAGTTTGTACAGCGGCCAGAAGAACTTGTGGGACTTGGAGAAGTTGTTTTCCCTTCCCTGGCTGTGTGGAAAGAGCAGAGCGTTGGTTCGCTAATCCCTCCCTTTGCCTAGAGGGCTTTCTAAGGGTTCCCCAAGGACTGGAGTGCAGATAAATGAGGAGACCACACAGGCGTTCCAGACTCAGAGATGAACGTGCTTTTTCTGGAACCATCACTGGGGTGTCTTCCAGGGTGAGGGGCAACGTCTACAGTGCTGCACATTAGCATAGCTGAGATGCTTGCTGCTAATGTTATCAAATACACGGCATTTTTAAGTATACTTTAGAGGCAGATGGGAAGGCCCTTTATGATAAATGAGTGTACTTGAATTTATTACTGTAGTACTTATAATTAAAAATGTCTCCTTTGCAATTGCAGCACTTTACAGGGTACAAGAGACCAAGCTTGGAAACCAGAAGCTGGAGATCAGGAAAGGAGGGAAGGAGAAACGGATGCGTCTGGGAGGAAATACATTGTTTACATTCACAGCCTACCCATTTGCTTACCTTCTTAAAGCCCCAAAACTTGTAGGAGATTAGCCATTTACTTGGTATTCAAATAAACTGTGTAAGAATTTGAGGCACTAAGTGGATAAACTTGCTAGCTGGTCAATCATGTTTTTAAAAACTGTGTCTGGCATACAGAACCACCTCACCCAGGGCTAAACTTGTGTTTATTTAACTCTGTATTTCCAGGGATGTATCAGCCCCAAGTAGCATGTGTTTATAAGTAGTCACAGAACCATAGATATAAACCAGGTGTACAGGCATAGGCCTGTCATCCAAGCCCCTGGGAGGCTGAGGCAGGTGCCAGGAGTTTGAGGCCAGCCTACATTGTGGTTCCAGGCCACTCAGAACTACATAGGGAGACCCTGTCTCAAAAAACAAAGCAAAACAAAAAGTGCAGATATAAATGTCCTTGTCCTATGTTCTTTTCCACCTAACACCTAAGGATGGCACACTCCTCTGTGTTGAAGTACTCTAATTAATGTGGGTTTTTCACACCAGTAAAACAGATTCATGGTGAGTTCCTTGAAATAGTTCAGGTTCTGCTTAGACCCTGCAAGGTGACCTGGAACAGCACAGTCCGTGTTTGGGGACCTGACCCAGTACTGCCTAGAGTTGTGACCATGATAATGGGTCTTCTGCGTGCACACACACTCCAACCTTCAACCCATTCTAAGGTCTGATAAAAGCTGGGATAATCCACTCTTATTCTTCCAGGTTAGCATTTAACAGGACAGAAACTAAAGGGTGTTCAATAGACATCCAGGGAAGGTCATTACAGGAAGCTCCTTCCGGGCTCCTTACTGCACATTCATTTGAGAAGAGCAGACCAGAGATCTCTGAGCCCTCCCAGTGCCCCACCTCTGCTGCAAGCTAAGGGATTGCCAAGGAAATCACAGCACTCTGGACAACTTTCCTCACACCTTAAATCTCATAAACGATGCTTCTTCCTGTAGCTGGCAAGGTCTTAGCAGGGTTAAAACCTGGGCTCAACAACTCAGTGATCCCAGGGTGTTTCTCTAGTTGAAGGCAGATGAGGCATGAGGTGGGAAGGGCACTAGCAGGTAAGTGTATTCCAGATACCTTCGTGTTACTAAAACAGAACATTTGGGCGTAGACAAGGTAAGTGGCATAAATACAGAGTGTTGGGACACTACAGGAGACAAGTATCTGGGTGCTTTCAAAGGCATTGTCAGCTGATAGAGCTCAGCAGCAGAGCACTTATCTAGCATGCAGAAGGCTCGGTTTGATTCCCAGCACTGCCAAAAAACAACCAAACAATGTAATGTGAAAGAGAAAAATGAAAAAAGTTGCTGGGCGTGGTGGTGTATATCTGTAATGCCAGCACTCAGGGAGGCTGAGGCAGGAGGGTGGGTAGCTCTGAGTTTGAGGCCAACCAGGACTACAAAGTGACATCAAGGCCAGCCTGAATGACATAGTGAGACCATGTCTCAAAAACGAAAAGTAAAGAAAGATTATCCTTAAAAACAAAGCAATAGGATTTAAATGCAATGTGTGAGTCCTGCTGGCTCCTGGATCAAAAAAACTATGGAGCTGGCATGGTGATGAACACCTGCAATCCCAGCACCTTGAGAGGCTGGGGCCGGAATACCGCTGGGAGTTCAAAGCCTTAAAGAGGCCACTTTGGACTGCAGAGTGAGTCCTAAAACCATGGAGCCTGTTACTCGACAGTTTTGCTCTGGACCGGTTACAAGGTGATGAGGAATTACAGTGCTGTTTTTGGTTTGGGTTTTTTGACACAGGGATCTCCTTGTTCGGCCCAGGCGGGCCTTGAAAGTGCCGAGATTACAGGATGCGACATCACACCAGGTTGTGGTGCTCCTTGGATGTGAAAAGGCTGGGCAGTTCTGTTCTGAGACAGTGAATGATAAAGGATGAGACGGGTGACTCCTATCACTGCAAATAAACAATGCATCTCATGGGAGAATGAGAACGCAAATTGGACAGTGTGTCTACACCTCTAAGATTTGGGGATAGTTTATAGCTATTTGTTTTATTGTTTATTCTGTTTGAAATTTTCACAATAAAACGTTTTGGGAAAACAATTCAAACTTCATTGTCTGCATAATCTCATGTGTTAAATGGAATTTGCTTCATGAGTTAAAAAATGATTTATAGGGCCAGGGATTTAGCTCAGTGGTTCCTCTGCCTGCGTCGAAAGAGCAAGGTCCTGAGTTCGATCTCCGGTGACAAAAAAAGAAAAAAAATCTAGAAAAAATGATTTACGATGTTTCTAGTAAAAAAAGAAAAAAAAAAGTATGAAGCTGGGCATGACAACACATGCCCATAATCCCAGTACTCTGGGGGGCTGAGGCAGGAGGATTGCAAGTTTGAGCCCAGCCTGAGCAATTTAGCAATTTAGTGAGGCCTTGTCTCAAAATAAAAAATAAAGGGCTGGAGATGTAACTCAACATAAAGGCCCTGGGTTGAATCTCCAGTTTCACTAAAAAGAAAAAAAAAAAAATTGAAGCTCAGAATAACCAGAAAATCTATAAAATAAAGGCAGAACTGTTTCTATGTTAAGAATAAGGCATGGGCCAGGGATTTAGCTCAGTGGTTCCAACACCTGCCTCACAAATGCAAGGTCTCGAATTCAATCCCTGGTACCAAAAAAAAAAAAAAGGCAGTAGCAAATAAATTTAATTTTTAAATTTTTATGCATACTTGTTCTGCTAGCCTTTTTAATACTTGAGCCCAGCAGTGATGCATAAATTATTAGTTTGATTTTTAAATTTTCTTAATATTTTGAAATATGATGCTCATAACAGATTATTGTGCTGTGTGCTAAGGTTTAAATATTAATCTTGAAAAGAAGTAAAAATAGCACTAAATCTTGAACACTGATGTCCTCCTCACCTGAATTACCCAGGCACACAAACCCAAGGGGATGGTTCCTAAGGCCCTGTTAGGTACCAGCATCCACAAAGGCTCTGGTCCCTGTATAAAATGGCACGGCTTTCAGAGGGAATGAACTCGCATTCTCCTGTCAGAATCCCATCTCCAGCCCTTTTTTACTTTATTATTACTTTGGCAGAGGCAGTTTGAGACAAGGCTCACAATTTAGCCCAGGCTGGCCTTGAACTCTTGAAGATCCTTCTGTCTCAGCCCCTGCAGTGCTGGGATTGCAGGCATGCACCACCAGGACCTGGTGCAGGTTTGCTTCTGTCATTGCTGCTTTTACTATTTCTAATCCACAATTGGTTGAATCCTTGAATTAAAATACAAGCAGATATAAAGGGTCTAACCAAGGGCAGGAGATTTAGCTCAGTGGTGCGGCCGCCTGCCTTGAAAGTGCAAGGTTCCGAGTTCGACCCCCCCCCCAAAAGGGGTCTACCCTATTTATTATGGGATAATAAATTCTTGGGAAGCACTGCGAAAAGGAAAGAAGGCAGGTGGAACACCCCAGCCATCAATTATTTCCTTCAGTCACACTTAGTTTGCTTTTGTTTTTCTTATCACCATTTTGTGTATTGGAGGGAAAACTGTGTCCCTCAGGTAAGCAGATTCTAGCTTGTGTGTGAACAAATTAAATCCACAATTTCTAGAGAAAAACTTGATTGCCTGAAAGGAAGGCAAATATGGAAACACAGGGAAAGCCAGACTTCTCACTCACGCACTAATCAGTTCTCCCTCCGAGTAACTAATGATTATGTAAAAGGAAAATGATAGAAAGAGCTCCAGCTTCACCAGGACAGAAATAGCCCGGAGGGAACAGAGTTCCCGTTCTAGTTTTCCTCCGCACTTCAGAAGAACTGGCAAGCTACAATTGGCACTTGAAAGAGTGTTACAAAACATTGAGAAGTATTAGAGAAATGTTGATTAATGTAAACAGCCTGCCTCAGGAATAATACCTTTCTTAAGAAAACTGGTTTTCCAATTAGCATTTCTGTGGAGGCACTATCTTCAAGGAACTCCAGCGAATGTTTTAGAAAGAGTCCCTGTTTGCCTCGCTGGAGAAGGTAGAGGTCAGCATATTTACATCTTAAATTCCTAAAACTTTGGGGAAAAATTGTTAGGTTAAAAAGCAAACAGGTCTTAAAAAGAAAGAAAATTCTGACACATGCTACAGCATGGAGGACCCTTGAGGATGTCATGGTGAGTGGATAAGCCCGTCACAGAAACACAGATGGTGGCTCATGCCTGTAATCTCAGCACTCACTCGGAGGCTGAGGCAGGGGATCAAAAGGTCAAGCCTAGCCTGGGCAATTTAGTGATTTAGTGAGACCCTGTCTCAAATTTTTTAAAAATAAAAGGCTGGGAATGTAGCTCAATGCAAAAGTTTTGAATTCAATCCCCATCACATCAAAAAAAAAAAAAAAAAAAAGCATAACTCCACTTACATGAGGAACCTAAAGTAGTCAAAACCAGAGACAGAAAGCAGGGTGAGGCTGGAAGAAAGGAGCAATGGGTGACTGTCCTTGTTAAGCAGGTGTAGAATACCTGTTACTGCTCCATAAGTTGTTGTGTAATTGGTGCGGACCCTTCCTCTTGGAGGATGAAACAGTTCTGTGGATGTGTGTTGGTAATGGTATGGAACAGATGAGTATGCACGATGCAGTGTACTTAAAAATGGTTAAAATGGGGCCGGGGATTTAGCTCAGTGGTTTCGCTGCCTGCTGTGGAAGCTCAAGGACCCGAGTTCGATCCCTGGTACCATTAAAAAAAAAAAAAGGTTAAAATGGCAGTTTCTTTTCCAGTGATGAGGGCCTAACCCATGGCCTCACGTGTGCTAGGCAAGTGCTTTACCACTGAATTTTATTCCCATGCCACCACATTTTTTTAAAAAGTCAGTAGACATCCTTCTTTCAGGCCCCAGGCTTTTGTTTATTTTTGAGGTTGCTTTGGCTTTGTTCTCAGCCCTGGGGTCCCAACGCTGGGGACTCTACCGCTGAGCTACATCCCCACCATCTCTATTGCTTTAAGACGCGGTCCTGCTAAATTGCCCAAGGTAGCCTTGAGCTTTGAATCCGCCTGCCTCAGCTGCCCAAGCGGCTAGGGTTACAGCCTGGCCATGCACCAGCTTCACTTTGCACATTCTTCCCACTCACCTCCTGAGCTTGTGCAG